AAAGGGATGTATAAGGGTCGTAAGGTGGAACGAGGTCGGGCCGGGCGGGGGCGGGGGAGGTGGGGGTAGCTTATTAGAGCCACGACAGCAGCCCCGGCTCCACCTTGAAACCTCCAACCAACCACCATGCTGCCGTGAGTCTTACCACCTTGCTTCCTTCCATCCAGCCGCGTCGCCTTCCTATCTTCAACCCGGACCGAAACCCCGTCCCTCGCCCCCTATTCCACCTCTCTCTCTATATATATGTATACATATATATATATATATACGTATATATAGTTCAAGCAGCGTGGAAACGTGGCTCGACATAAAGGGTCGCCTGGGACCGTGGTACTTGCCGCTCGTCTTTAATCTACGAGGTCACCAAGCAACGACGACGACGACGACGACTGCCGTATTACTACGAGAAAATGAGCACGTGCCTTCGCGAGGCTGCGTTCGAAAGATTCCGAGTCTTCAGCCAGATTTAATACTCGCCTCTATTCATTGGTACGTGCCAGAGTCCCCATGGAAAATGATAAATCATAGTTCTATCAAGAAAAATTTGAAATAGTTCTGCATTATGTTCTTTGAAGATGAAACAAGCGTTGATCGAACTACGTTAAATGTATATGATCGTAGAAAGTGAGGACGAAAGGTAGCGAGGTTTGATTTTGACATCTGTAAAAAAAATACTTATTCGATTGAAAGTTGTAATTAGTGGAAGCAATTAACAGCAATTCGAAGTTTAATGATCACTTCGGAGGAAAGAACGATTTCGAGGAAGGTTCGAAGTTCACTGTAACCAGGGTAATCGGAGGTTGCTCGGGAACGATGAGAAAGTTTAGTGGAGAGGGTGTGGACGTGCACCCCTCGCGTGTGATGAGTCGTTTCTTGACACTAACGGACCCTCGTCTCTCTCCGTTTAAGGCGACATTATCGTCGTCTACAAGACGTTTTCATCGTGGATCATGCGAAATCCTATTTGGGCAACCGTCCCATTGTTGAAGAACAATTTTATGGTGCGCCTCCAACGCTTCGAATAAACGAAATTGTCTAAATAGAATAGGACGAAGAAGGAAACAGTTTGCGAATTCAATTCACAGAACGACTCTGTATTTTCTTAGATCGAATTTAGAAATTGTTTTCAGTACGATTTGAGCAGAAAATGAATCATGGCGCTCGGGTGAAAAAATTCAGTTCCCATCGAATCGCGGCACGTTCGGCGAAAAGTCGTTTTAATTATCCTAAGTAACGTTTTTCATGGCCGTCTGCACTAAGATCGCGCTGGTCATAATATTTAATCACTACTCGGCCCCCTGCAAGAAGTTTCCTCGTTGAAGGCTGGAAATGAATCGTCCTTTATCCGTAGAAACGTTTTCCTTGCGCTGATTTCTTGTTCCCAACAAAAATTCCATTCCTCTTACAGTCCCATTGCAATAGTTGAAATTCTGTTCTTGTGGTCGAGTCAAGGATGTAATCGACGGTCTTTAATCGGTGGGTTACTGAGGGACAGGGCGGCGGATTAGTCAATAGATTCCCTGCGGTGGAACTTCGAACCCTTCCGATCTTAAAGATTACGAAACAAACAAGAGCGCGAAACCGGCAAATGGGGTGACGATGAAGGGGTGAAACGGCGGCCTCACCCCTCGGCTCTCACCCCTGCCGCCGATGGTTCCGCGAGAGACAATTTTCTGTAATAAGCCGAGGGTGAATTATTTTTATAAAATTCAATGCAATATCGGAAAAGTAAGTATAGTGCAGTGAGGAGTTATAGAAAAATATTTAAGAAAATATATTTATACCATAGATATATTAAAATAGACCGAGTGCTCAAATAGAAGACTTTAAGTCAGGCGATTAAGAGGAAGAAAATTAATGGAAGAGTTTCCTCATCTTCTATCGGCATTCGATACAGAGAGAGAGAGAGAGAGAGAGAGAAAGAGAGAGACAGACAGACAGACAGAAAGAAGTTCATTCAAAACATGTTTTCTCTATCTTTTCTAACACAAAATACATTCAATCCATTCTCTTGTATTTATGATTTATACTCGTGCAATTTTAATATTGTAAGACTTAACTTTCATTGGTAAAACTTCACTATCGTTTCGAAGAATATTTTCAGTAAGCGCGAAAGGGACGCAAAGTTCGATGTGTCAGGTTAATTCAGTCTGGCCAGTGATTCACGAAATATAAAGGAGCATCGGCATCCCCCGGGTCGCGAGGTGTCGTCGAAATTCTGGTTGGTACAAACTGCAACCCCAGCCGTCGTTCCGTAACTCACCGTGGCCTCATCCCCCCTGACCCCGGCACGGGAGAAGAACGCGGTGGGGTGGCGTTTCATTTTTTGACACCCGGTGTATTTGATTCCACCCTTGTAATAAACCCCAGGGGTTGCCACCCATGGAGGTCCCTTGTCTCCCTACATGTCATATCGACACCTCACCCCAAGGGGTAGGTGACTGCTAGGTAATTTGCTTTCTTATTTTCTCCGCGATACTCTCTCATCCTCCTTCCTTCTCGCGCCCTCGCGTCTCAGTTGCAGCCCCCATCGAAAAATGAGACCCCGCGTATTCCTTTTGCCAATTTTCCTCTACCGTCGCGGAAGAGACTTTCACGCGGCGGGGAAATCACGTTCACGTTAGCCTACGCTGATAAAACTTGATGGTTCCCCAAAAGAGTACTCTTGGGATTATTGTTCCAGCCGATTACTGATTTCTATTCTAAACTTCAAGGATAGATAGGACTAATCAGATCTATGATTTTACATAAGGGGACTGTATATTTAGAAACAAGGGGCAGTCGTTAGATTGCGGATTTTATGCCTTTATAAGAAAACCAAATGTGGAAAAATATAGACAGTACAAGTATAATGACATAAAAAAACATAGAATTATACAAAATTAAAAAATTCTCTGATTGTTGCAACTTGATTTTTATAAGTGAAATAAAAATTTCGTTATACGACATAAAAATTTAACAATTAGATGTAATAGCTTATTCAATAGCCTCGTAAAATTTCTAAAATTTGGTGTCTTATTAATGTAATACCTAATAACTATTAAAATTTCAATGTTTTGCCATTGTTTTCATTTAAGGGCTCATGCAACTTTAAAATATTTTAGTTTACATACAGTCTACAGTCTAGTGATCATCGATTATTCTGTATTATTTTGTATAAAAAGTGAGAAGGGAGTCGGGCAGTAATGGGAACCATCGTTTTGTAGTTGTTTTCATCAGTTTCATCGATGTTTAGACGACACTGTCTCACGGTTGCAAACGAGATGTCCGTTGGTACCTGGGCCGAGGAAGCCCCGATTACGCGTCTGCCGGCTAATCTGATTTCAGCCACCTCCAGACCGACAACTCCTTAGCGCTACTCCTTTGGTTTCTCTCGACAATCTTGTTACGCAGGATAGACGGGGAGAGTTCCAAGTACGGAATCTTGTGCCGATGATACTTACACGTGATCCACCGGCTGACTGATTTAACCCCTTACCACTCCCTAGGCACAATGCCCAGAACCAAACTAACTTTTCAAGCACCAAGTGTAATACCTTCGTCGAAAATCAATGGTTCATTTTATTCTTGACACTAAACCTACAGTCCAAAGACTATTTTTAAATACTTTTATTATTATTTAAAGAGAAAGTGTTTGTATGTTAGTAAGAATCTATAAAACGATGTAGGGCAGTAGCATTCTTGTATACTCCGGAGTTAATTTCTTTAGCTTCATGACATGTGCAAGAGATTTTTAAATATTCCATCAATTATTTAATATATTCAATATTTAATAAATTCCTTAAAAATCAATTTGTGGATTTTTCGAATTTTACGTTCTACTGGGGTGAACGCGTTTTTACGTATTTTTCAATATTTTTGAAGTTTGATGAATTATAGAGTTGGCCTTGAGCCACAGAGGTTACCCATAGGAATACCTAAAAATCAATTTCAGGGTTTTACTCCAATCATCCACCGAGGGGATGAAAAGGTGTAAACAGTACATTTACAATCTTTCAAGCTTGATTTATCGACCTAGTTTTTATTTAGAAAATATTTCTATTCTATTTGAATTCTGTGTAAGATACTCAATGATGTCATATTTAAATCAAAGCTCATTGAGTGATCAGATTTAAATCTCCTGACAGTATAGTTAAGGCAGTACCTAAAAAATCATATAAAATCGTGTTTTTCTCAGCATTCTAAATAAATTTGGAGAAGAATATTAGTACCTAAGATTAACCAAAAAATGACGTGATGAAAAACTTGAGGGAAAGTTAAAAAGAAAATGAAAATTGTTTTGTCATATTGTTCAAGTTGTAATTCTTATTTAAGTAGGTACCAAACTATAAAGTAGCCAACACTACATTTCACTCAAATGTGAAAAATATAAATATAGTACATTAGTGTATAAAAATTGTCAGTAGCTTTATTATTAAATATTGCATTTCTATTTCGTTGACAAAAATTGTTTAAGGGTTTATGTATAAGTAAAGTTGTACTGCTACTGAGAACTCGATGAAAGTACAATCCTTTGATAATCAATTAAGATTGACACGGATAAAGAATAACCGTGACTGAGATTCAATCTATTGTCAGAAAAAAGAGTGACAATTGCGAGTATTCGAGGTTCACCGAGACCGTGATCGTCCGCAAGCACCGTGTCGTCGGGCGCAACCCTTTGGGAAGCGGGCGTAAAGCCAGGCACCCTCGCACGCGGTGGCGGGTAAGGGGGCGCGCGCCGCGGGCTCGGGGGAGGTCGGGGGGACAAAACTCACCCTAAGAAGCCTTTAAGAACGCCAAGGCGGTAGCGTCCGCGTTGGTGGGGTTGCATAAAAGTGGCCGCATGCGCAAGCTCGTTGAAAAACTGCGACCCGCCTCCAGCGCCGCCTCCTATCGTCTCCAGCCCCCGGTTTTCCACCCCCGCGAGGATCTCTTCTCACCTAGAGGAGAAGACAGCCCCCCCGCGGGATCACCCCTGCTGCCCCCGAGACGCGGTCGCCTTGGAGGACGAGCTGCGGCCTTTTTCGACAATTGGCCCCGGCTAACATGTGCTAACCGTGTGTGATTACTCTTTGCTCTACGGGCGACCCTTCTACCGCGAACCGCTGCCCCGCCGCCCCCTCTCGTCCATAGTTCGGGTCCTTCCGCCTTCGGTGCTCGCCCGCGAAAATCAAAGTGTCACGGCACGCGGGTCCCCTAGTAGTAGTTCCGCGCGCCGGCAATCGGGAAGCGAGTGCGTGAAAATCGAAAGCTGTTATATCGGTGGTGCCGCTGCTGGCGCGAAGTGACGGACAGTTGGTGAATAGGTAGAGGGTTCGTTGAACACAGTGTCGATCTCCCATGTTTGCGTCAGATTTTTTTCTATTTTCTGGTCTCTATTTTTCGTCGCTTTTTAGCGGGCACGTATTTTGTTAACGATTTTGTTCGTTTTTTCGGGTGGCTAAAGCGCGGCGCGGGGCGCAAAGCCGGCCGGACCGGGGGCGGCCGGGGACGGGAAACGTGAGCACCAATTATTTCTTCCAGCATGGGAACAACGACCGGCGTTGATCTAATTGGTCGCCAGTAGGTAATTGTTCGGTGCCGATAATTGGGCCAATTAATTTGTACGGAAAAGTGCGTCGATAATCGTCCAGCATTCACCTCCGCGATACCGATTATGTGGACCGTGTAGGATGCGGGTTATAGAATATCGTTACCGTTCAAAAGGCCGAGAGATGAACGGGCGAGGGCAACAGAAAAAAAGGAGGACACGAAACGAAACGTGTATAGAAAAAACGAGGATGGAGCGTGATAAAAACAAGGAGGGAAGGGGGCGAGTCGGAAGCACGACCGGTCACGTAATCGAATATATTTTTATCTTTTAATTGAAAAATATCGTCGCCCAGCCGTTCCGGGCTGGTAATTTTATGGCGACAGGATTTAATTACACAAAATCACGTCGAACCGGACAATATAATTAAATACCTGTTTTTCCGTGAAAATTTGACGCCGGTTTGGTCGGGCGAGAACGGATTTTTATCGAAATACCCGAAACTTGTTAAATATCTGACTGGACAAACGCTCACCACTTATTCTCTTATACACTTCACAGATTCTCTTCTATCCATACCTAATAAGTAGACATTTTATATACAGTTGGAATACACAAAAATTATGAATTTTCTGATGTATCAAGCTATGCAGGATATCAAAAGTTGGTTCTATTAAAACTTTAAAGTCAATTTCTGGAAATCTTAGTTGAACATACATTATTATAGTTCGTTAAATTAAATTATGATTTCTCAAACGTGTTTACAGTTACATATAGGAAATAAAATATTTTACATTATTAACTAATTAATGGTTCAGTTTCACCATAGAACATAATATTTGTATTTCATGTTCTCGTCTACATTATAAGAATTGCTTGAGTCAAGTGGCTCAAGTAATGCCAGGTTGTCACAGTTCGATAGTAGATCTTATGAAGACACGAGTTTCTGTATATTTAAATACAAATAGCTTATTCTGCAGTCATTAGGAAGTACGAAATATGAATTTTCGACCTGTAGAATTGCATTCTCATTTTAATATATTTTACTATACATTTTAATATTTGCATACTAATTTTAATAATTACTATTTATAACTGCATCACTTCCAAGTACTTCAGTGTAAAGTGCAAGTGTTTTTAAGCTTGATTATTTTAGGAACTTGGTTGGTAACCTGGATATTTAATCGTAGCTAAAGTGTCTTGCATTTTAATGGAATTAATATCAATCAATGTTTTAATGATGCTTGTCTGAAAGACTTATTTTAAACTGATACCATAAATGTTCCATTTTGTATCAGCATGTATTAATATGAGTTTCATCATGAATTGGGATATATGAATAATTCCTGTTATTCCTAATATATGTACATTCAACTGATTACATACATATATATATATATATATATACACAGGATGTGTAGAATGTATCACAGCGTGTCGGAAACAGGGGGAAACTGTGGATGATCACGAAGAAAAAAAGAGAAAGGAAGGCGATGTACTGCCGGAGGGTCCGAAACGTATGACGAAATGCATCTCGGGAACTCGACGTTTAGGGACGCGGAGGCGTTGTGCATTGTTACCCATATAGGGGCGCAGGATTATATGGGGTGGTCGCTCCCGTTCAGGGATCCTCGTAACTTGCTACAGATCCGTCATGATCGATAGTCTTCTGGCGTCGTTCAAAAGAGAAACCGGAGTTTGGTTCTCAATGGCTGGATTGCTTGTCATCTCGATTTTCACTACACAATTCCGCTTTTCATAATTCGTTTATGATTTAGAAGAGACGCAGCTGAGCTTTAAATTACGAATGGATAAAATTCTGAAAGAATGAGATCAGAATTTCTTCTGTGCCTCCAATCTGCACTTCATGGAACTTTTAAGGTTGAGCATTTAAATAAGAATAATGACAAAGAATTCAAATTTTAATAGTCATCAGATGTCAGGTTAATAAAGTACTGAGTGAAATTTTAGAAATTTTGCAAGGCTATTAAAAGAGTTGTTACATCTTGAATTCTTACGTTGAATGGCAACATTTTCACTTCATTTATAAAAGCTTATCGGTTCATATATTGGAGACAGTTTTTGTCATATTTCTTAAACTTTTGACAGAGATCTTACACAGTTGATACAACCTTAAAAGAAATTATTCTTCATTTCCGATTGTATGAATTTTGTCCAGGAAACCTTCAAATGTTCCCTGATAGCGATTTATAAAAAACAGTTTGGCTCGAATGATAAAGGGAGAAGAACGTCTCTCCTCCGTGAAAAGAAAGTTTGGTAGATATTTTCATGATGAATCCTCGCAATAATCGCGTCCACTGGAAGAAGAGTTCTTCCCCTCGCAATCAGTAAAGATTCGTTTCCCGACTGCAACAGCAGTCGTGCGCGCACGACCATGGGACGACTACGACGACGTCGACAGCGGCGGCGGGGACATTAAGACAAAGTATCCCTTTCTTTCTTGTTCGCGCAGCCCCTTGTTTCTTCCCTCGTCGTGCACCCTCTTCGGCGAGCCCCCAAGCCGTCGCGCAACCCCCGTATTCCTTCGGTGCTAAACGCAACTACACGAGGGACCTTTCAACCGTCTTTGTTTTCCCTTTCTTCACAGTGTCGTTTCGCAATCTCGCGCGGGGAGGTCGTTGAACGAACGGAACCAGGCAGGACTTGCGAGGAAAAAAAGGACGATCATCGGACGAAGGAAAGCGAGCCTCGTTATCGGTGCACCGCAACCTGGGAACGATCCCAACCGTGCGGTAATTACAGACCGTGGAACCAGTTTCTTTTCCACCGCGCTTTCCTCCTTTTTCGGGCAACTCCGAAACCGCAGCGTTAAACGTTTTGCATTCAAGTTTCCTCGTTTTGCGTTACGTGGATGAGACAAGTGAATATAATTTGGAATGACTTAAAAAATGATCGACGATACTACAAATTTCAGTGTGTTTATCAAACAATTTGTGAGTTGGTATAAACATGAACTATTTCAGTGAATGTGTGGAGGCTAATTACCGTTGTGATATAATCTTGGAAGCTGTGATTCGAGACACGTGAAAGGATAGTGTGATCGAGTAATCAACGTGATTATTCGTTTACAGATCAAAGTGATTTTTGTCGAACATATTTCTCAGCGCGTGTCGCGGAATAGAGAGTCGGAGAGGATACCGCGGGAGTGGGGGTGTGTTGTCATCACGATCAGCGACACAGACGGCGGGAGTATAGGCATCGGGATCGCGGAAGAGGGTGGCAGCGGAAGAGAGAGAGATTTTTCCCCACCGCTTGGAAAAAGCAGCCCCCACCAAGTGCGTTTAGTACGGGCAGCCAGCGGCGGCGGTGGCGGCGGCGGCGGCGGCGGCGGCGTTCGAAGAGTGAGGCGCGGAGGGGTAGGTTAGCCAGGGTGGTCTCGGTGGTGGCTGGGGGCGGCAGCCTCAAAAATACACCGCAACCACACCGCGCGGCTCCACCGCAGAAGCCGCCATCTTCCACCGCCGAACCGAAACGAGACCGCGCGAGTTAAACACCCTATCCTACTTCCCCGTGGAAGTTGCCGCTGCCACCCGCCGAACTGCCGCCCGCGAAGAACTACCTCTTCGTCCTCTGGCCACGGGAACTGCCAAGTGGCAACGTACGGGACACCGAGGAAATTCGAATTCCTGTTGTCGCGCCATTCAACCGATGGGATAGTCATATCAGTCAGCGTCAACGATCGACGGTTATTTTCGAACTATCAATGATCGTTTAAACGGTCCGGGCCGTATGTCGTTCGTCAGTGATTTTTTTTTGGTTTCTAAGGGAGGACTGTATGTGTGAAAGTTTTGGTGTTCCTTCGGTGGTGTTCGAGCGAGGACTTCCGGGAAGAGCAATGTGCGTATGTGGGATTTGTGTTGCGGTCAGAGCTGGCTCGGAGGATCCCCGGTGCTACTGCTGAGTTAACACCTGTTAGATAGTCGAGCCGAAGTGCTGATGTGACACACGTGCGAGTTAGGAATTTTCCGATCCGGCCACGAATCTTCCGAGCAGTGAATCAACCCTGTAACTAATTCCGATCGCGCGGGGGTTAACGGCAATTGTCAGGGACCGAGGGGTGGGTTTGAGTGACTTTCCGTCGAATCGAAGTAGCGGGGCTGCATCCGATCAAAGAAACGTGGGTAGAGCTCGATTCCAATAAAACGAATTTTCCCCGCGAGTTGGCAATCGGGGAACGAAGAATTTGCAAACGGATGCTAGCGGCCCCGACCCCCGGGATAATGAAATAAGGATCAAAGGTCGCTGGGGTCCGTGCGCCGCACGAAACCTGTCCGCGTGCCGCCAATCAAGCTTATTATTCGGTGAACGATGACTATTCATCGATTCACTTCATTAGATCAAGCTTCCTGAACAACTTCTCACGAACAGATCTCAGCGCATTAACACCGACTAATATTGCTCATACGAACCAAACGATGAGACAAGAACGATGATCAGATTCGATAAAAAATTGAATGTGATAGCTTATTAATATCAAGACTATCATCTTGGTACCAGAAAGTGGTTCCATCGTTTCGCAATATGATTTCCTTTTATTATTTCTAAAAATCTTTGTACATATGAAAATAGACGTCTGATTCTGCAAGACTCAAATACGAAGAAAAGAATCCTATTTTTCACTATCGGATGGATAAAGAATAAATAAGGACAGTGAACAAATGAATGTGAATTTTTATTAATATAGACGATACGTCTTAAAACAATAAAACCACAGAAGGATTCCATCTTCTAGCAATATGATTTTGTTTTATTATTTTTAAGAATCGTTGTACATATGAACATTAAAAACAGATTAGATCGGAATTAATAACAAGAGAGAAGCCTGATTTTAACGAGATTCAGATACCAAGAAAAGAATCTTATTTTTCGCAGTCGTATGGATAAAGAATAAATAGAAACAGTGATCAGTTTGAAAACGATTGAGCCGAGTCGTCCGCGGTCTGTCGGCGAGGAAGAACGTTTTAAAGAAAAGTCCGATGATCCTGTTCTCATGACGAACCCTTTGCGCGATGCACGCCCCGAGGATCGGCCTCCAGGCTTAGATTATTCCGACCCCCGATTGCTGAGGAACGGGCACCAGGATCATCAGGGAGCCACAGTGCACCAGATCGGCGGCGCAAGGATACGAAGGACTAGGACCTCGTCCTCGAGGAGAAGAATGCACCTAGCCAACGAGGTCCCACCGCAAGCAGCCACCGGCGGCAACAATCTACCCGACTACGCTCTCACCGCGGACCTCCTCGCTGAGAGGACCCTCGATGGCCTGTTCGCGGAACATCCTGGAGAACTGGTGCGAACAGGTGAGAAAAAGTTCATTCAATACTTTGAAAAATCGCGGGTTTCTATATAAAGTCTGTGACGATTTATTAGAGTTCTGTGAGCTGTAAAATCTACCATTATTTAATATTTTGATATAGAAGTTTTAAAGGAACTGATGTAAAAAATAATACGGAATTAATTAAAAATTATGGAATTTACTGCAAAAATGGAATGTACGATATAGTTCCAATTGTGTTCACGTCATAATTTCTCATTTCTGGTCCTTTTCTCTATAATATTAATTTTTCTGTACTTTTCTGATTGTTTTATTAATACATAAAATCTGCAGTGTTATTAGAATCACTAAACTAATAAAGCTTCTTAAGGTAGATCTTAACCAACCATGTTAATTAAATGATACTTCGTTAGTAAATAACAAATAAGAAAGTATGACAGTACTATGGAAATTTTGATAATAATTTTTAGCATTTTGTATATTTCTTTAAAAACTTAAATGTTAATACAAACGTGCTCAATACGAAAATAAAATAATACATCAAAATAATCTTATGCAAATTTTGAGATGACTCTTAAATATAGTTTCCCAATTTAAAAAATAAAGTAAAACTGAAACCCTTAATTTTTCATATCAGTCATGTCACCGTGTTACATTTTTCAACAATTTCTTAACACGTAGTCAATGAATTTAAAGTTTCGCATAAGTCTTCTTTGTACTCCAAATCATGTTTGCTCCTAAATTGAACATAACTATGAATTTCAAAGTTTACCTAAGAACTACCTTAATACAAGCAGATCATAATCTCTAGTTTTCAGTTTCTCGATTATCTGCAAACACAGTCTTTAAAAAATTTGATTAATTAATATACAGTGCAAAATTTAATATACTATACATTCGTTTATAACAAGTATGCCTTATTATTAAGCTGTGGATTTTTTATGCAAAATAAAACATTTATGGCGTCAGTTTAAAAAATATATTTCAAATCAACATTTCTCTTATCATTTAAATATTGAAATATGTAATCATTTTTTAATACTCTGAATAATTTCATCTATTAAAAACAGTGTTTATGATTTCTAAGCATTTTATTTCTTTGCAAATGCATAAAACTCGCAATTTACTTATTATAATTGATGAAGAGAAATACTGATAAACTCTATGAACAATTGAGATGTATACAATGATAGAATCTATTCATTATACATGATAATAAATTGATACGTTGTATTATTCGGCAATGAATTAAGAGCTTGGTACGGTGTGTACAATTCCTATTGACAGTTCGGCGACGATGGTTGTCAACAGGCTCGCCGCACGTGGTTTGCACCGTGTTACCAGCGCACTGGCGGTCGAACAAGACGCTTCCAGTGGCGTTTAAAGTCGTGGCTCTCGGCGAAGTCGGCGACGGGACTCTGGTCACGGTGCGGGCCGGCAACGACGAGAATTGCTGCGCGGAGTTGCGGAATTCAACCGCGGTGATGAAGAATCAAGTCGCCAAGTTCAACGATCTTAGGTTCGTCGGCAGAAGCGGCAGAGGTGAGTCCCCGTTATAAATTAACAAACGTTCATACAAAAACAGAATTCTGAATGCATTATATCTCATTTTGATAATCTATGTACACAAAATGGTATAAATTTCTCTATGAGCGTGCAATTTTTCTGGCTTTCGTCAAAAAGTCAATCCACGCGGTGCCGTAGGGAAAGCAAACGATTAAGGTGATTTAAAAAAAATTCGATCAGCCCCCACGGCCGATCGCAGTGAAATCCTTCTCCTCGCTCGGCTGTTAAATCATTCATTCGCCTGTACATTAAGACGGTGGGTCGACTGATGGCCTCGTTTTTTCTTGGACCAAGAAGGAGAGCCAGCTGGCCCCTTCCGTTTCAGTGGCTCATTTTTAATTCAGCCGGCAAACACGGCTCGTCGTCGTCGTCGTCTCTCTCGATATCTCGTAGAGATTTTTTAATTCTCCGCGTCTCAATAATTCAGGCATGGGTCTTCCGACGCGGGAGTGGAGGACGAAGGGGGAACGGAGAAGAGGGAAGAGTAAGATCAGGGGGCCTTATGGTCGGGGGGCTAAATAATGCGTCCTAATAATCGCTGCCATTACGAACGCTTAATGTCGACGCCGAGGATCGAAAGAGGACAAAGTTGCTCGCTTCCGACTTCCCTCGTCCCTCCCTTCGCCACCCTTCGGCCCGGTTTTTTCCTTCCCGTCAAGGGGACACTGTGGCGGGGAGATACGAGTAACGAGACGTCCTTTAATTCCTTTAATTCGACCGACTCGCGACGTCCTTTTCCTCCGTCGCGGGCAACTTTCAAGAGAACAGTCACCCGGGGGTTGGCTAACGAGGGCGCCCGGTCGACTTGTTTATGGCAAATTGGAAAACGAAATTGCGGGGTCTTTGCGATATCGAAGCTCCATCTGCCGTTGTACGCGTCGATACGCATACTGGCACGCGTCTTAAACGGTTTAAATGCCAGCTTTTTTAGTCCCCCACGTAGAGGCGAAGAATCAGTAAATTTTCGAATATTCTTTCGAGCCCAAAAGCGAATCAAACCTCGAGGGTTACAGCCACTTTACTAGATGAAATTGGCCCTGGCTCGATGTTTCATCTACCAAGCTGTGAAACGTTCGTCAGACTCGGCAGTTTCAAACGTTTAGCTCGAATTTCAAGAAAAGAAAGGACAGAAACAAATTAATAGAGATTTTCAGAAATCAAATAGAATTTATCATAAATCAATGAAGACGAAAATTCTGTTCCGTCGGCAGCCACAGTTACTCCACTGTCGACTTGAGCTGACGCAAACGAGATCCATAGTGGTTCCGAAGGAAAGAAGTGTAGATTAAAACTTGTGTGGACCATCATAGCAATTCTGACTCTTCATTTAGGTTTGTTTTATTCAATCCTAGCATCGTGGCTTATAGAATTCATGACGTGTAGAACAGAAATCGAAGTCGCTAAATTATAGAACTTTGAAGTATTTGTTACCTTATGACTATAAGAAAGCTACTGCCCTGAATCACTTTTCAGATTTTAGCTAACATGCAAATGCTTTCTCTTGACATTCTCTTGTCTATTCGTCTAGTGTGGAAAAGACACAACATGGGTTAGTCTTGATTAATTATAAGGGTTCAAGGTATTGATGCCTCATTTGATTTTATACTCATGTTTAATCTGTGACACGCTGTTGGAATGTTCTGTCTCATTTTATATGATCCACTCGTAACAAGTAATTGGCTCGCGAGTCGCCAGTTCATCACTTCTACCATAAATAATTTATTATCACCCATTATGTCTGAAAATTTCAAGAAGGATCAGGATGAGTTACATGAGACATATGACTAACATTAAAAATGAGGCACTTTACACTGTAATTATTTAATCACGAATTAATTGTGAAGACAATTACTACCTGAATAATTCATTCGTTTTACATCAGTTTTAGTTTCTAATAAAAAGAAAGCCCTTTCATTTCCTAAAGGATGAAACCGCCTTTTCTGGCGCGGAAAAACCGAGTGGACCGGGGAACAATGGAGATCCGTTGAACGGTTTTCGCAATTTTTTCGCGAAACTCGTCGGATGAGAAGGATATCGTGGATATATAGGGAATCACAGAATAGAGCAGACGGGAGGAAGCGAGAGGGAACCAGGTGTGGGTGGTCACGGGGAGATCGCTAGGGGGTGGTTGGGAGTAGAGTGGTTGGCTGTAAGCGGCTTTGGTTTCCATGGCAGTAAGCCCTCATTACTGTATTACGGGCAGCCCCTAACTACCATCCGTACGTAGCGATTTGCCTCTAGAACCTCTATGAGGGTGACGGATCATGCAAGATTGTTTTCCGCGTGTCCGGGAAACGCCAATATCCCGATTTCTCGGAAATATTTCCACCCTCTACAGCGACCAAGCCCCGTCCCCCTCGCAGGTTAAGTAGCTCGGCGTCAGTCTTGTCGTACGATACCCCGGAAATCTTTTTCCACGAATTCTTGACGTTATTGCAGGAGTAATTGAGGCTCGTTGCGAATTTGCAGTCAAAACTTTCTGCCACATCGAACAGGAGATATTTCATAAAAATTACTATTCTCGCAGTTGGTAAATATCCAGCGTATCCGTTCAAATAAAATTGTTTTTCGCTATGATTCTCGCTAACGCGTGGGTTTTTTTCCCGAGGTGGGCGGCCGATCGAGCCGGCCGATCACCGATAACATGGCCAATCGTTATCGTCTGGTACGGAGTTCTACGGTCGAACGGATTTGCTAAATAAATGGGAAATTTATGATGTTTGCCAGCGAGTCACGTCGTGTATCGCGCATAATACCGCGAGGAGACGCGGCCTCCCTCGGGTCGCTTCATAATACGGATACCCGTGTACATTTTTGCCAGTTTTTTCACCTCCGTTATTTTGCGCGCCGAGCCCGCGCTGACCATTTTGGGGCAAATATTTGTTCCACGCTCGCCCGCGGGCTTCGCCCATGCCAATTTAATATCGCCAATGCGGATGAGGAGTGATTTTAGCCCGAGAGGCGGATATTGCTACGAATCGTTCCACGGTCTCCTCGCGCCTTCCAATTCCCCAGGTCTGTTTGGAGAAACAGGAACTGATCGTCGAGTATTATCCTCAATCGACGCCCCTTCTTGTTATGTCCAAACGCGAGCCACACGTTTGCTCGTTTCAGTCAATATCATTTTTAATTCAGCCAATATTTACGTGAACAGAATATCGATATCATTTTATAATTATGGAATGTATGTGCGTAAATGACAGGACTATATTAGCATAATTCCCTTAATGAAATTGGAACACCAATTGTCGCATGATAAATCAATTACTATACTCAGACTACAGATTTTTATGCAAAATGAAACTTTTAAGAAATGATGAATTCTCCACGTTTATTTACACACCTAATTTTGCTATCAATGCATAACATTTGCAGTTTAATTATAATTTTATATAACGACAATTACAGCTAAAGTAAAATTGAAATTGATAAAAGTGAAAGAATCATAAGTGGAAAAAGAACTTAAGAAAGTTGAGAACGGTCCAGTTCCTCGGATCCTTTCTCGCGGAATTCGCGAAACAAAAGGGCGCGGGGTTCGTTGAAACCCGGGGGTGGGTCGGGGGAAATATTATCATAGCCGCGCAGAGGCGTATATCACTCGGCAACCCCTTTCGTTCCCCGACAGGGATTAGCGTTGAATCTCTCTCCCCAGTGCCTAGGAGAGTGTCCACGAGGCGGCCGAGGCGTGTGCGCTTTTCCCATTTCAGCTGCTCTCTCTCGAGTACCGGTGGGCGCGGTAGGTCCAGCGACGGCCGTAAAAACGATGGACATAAATACCGGAGTTACCTGTGTTTTATGACGTGCTAGAGCTGGAGGCGGCAGAATCGGAGCCAAAGCTTCGAATATCTATCGACAGCCCAGATCCTGACCGATGTCCTCGCGCTTTTCCCTCCTTTTCCTCTTAACGCGTGATTCATGTGCAACAGCTTCGACAATCCTTTCCATCGGGTCTCTTCATCTTTCGACTGGTTCGTTTACAGTCTGCCAATGCTTCAAACTTCTTTTTATATTCTTTCACTTGAGAATCCTCGATTTCATACAAATTATTATTTATTATATTTTATATTGAGTCAGTGTAAAAGTTTGTACCTGATTTTTAGGTTCAAGTCAGATTCCATTGTACTTGAACTGTAACAAAAATATATCCTTTCCTTCAAAGCAGTTAAACAATGGTTTGTTCTATTTAAAAATGGTGATTTTTATCTGGATTTTATCTTTAATCGACTTCGATCTTCCAGTTTCCACGAAAAAAGAATCCATCTGCTTGTAAAGAGAATGACATCTTACTTCATATCAGGCAAGAAATTTTGGAACGAATAGTACTTAATATTTCGGAGGTATCTTAAGTGCGTTCTACTTTAAGAATTCTATTAAATCGCACATTGATTTAAGCGTTTATTTTCATAGTTCATTTAATGCCGAGGTGAATTATCCGTTCCTCGGTAAGAGAATCTTTAGCTCCGTTTCAAGCCGCCGAGAAATGCTTGGGAATGATGATTTAATAAGTCGTAAAGAGCCGTTGACGTTTGAAAAGGGTCGACATTCTTTTTCACAGACCTCGTCGCCGAGCTCCCCAATCTTCGGATAGCGGCGGAACAGCTGTTGCGATTTCCCTGTTGCCGAAATTTCGCTCTTCGCCTTCGACCGTGCGTGACTTATACGAAACTACCCTACCACCGGCTTTAATTAATCGCCACCGAGTCAATTTCCCTCGAGAAACTTCCCACCGCCGGTTCAAATACCCATTCAATCATATTTCACCGAGTATACAATTCGCCATCCGTCGTTTTTTGCAATAAATTCAGATTTCAAGGAATGTTCACGTTCGCCAATTAGATGAAAGTCTGCTTTAAGATACAAGTAGCATTAAAATCAATTTTATTTTCTCCTTTGTGTAATTGGTAAAAAGCAACATCCGATCAGAAGAAACCATGAACGGAAATAGCGAGGGAAAAGGTCGAGGGAGAAAAATGGGT